GGCCTCCTAGAGACTTCCTGGATAGTTTTCCTTAATTAGGATAGTTTGTTGCTCTGAGGGGTCCTTGCACCCCTCCCAAGAACCTAATCATGTTTCCTCCCTTGTCCACTCAGCTCCTTGCTTGTTCTGATTAAACCCTGGGTGCCGAGCATCAGTGGGCTGACCGGCTACCACAGTTAGGAGCTCTGCTGAGGATCTCACTCCTCCCGTAGACCTAAAGACCATGCCGTGTGTCTCATTCCTTTGAGCTTTTGCTGTGCGGAACTGGGGTCTGGACACAGACTCCAACAGTGCTTCAGCCTCCTGAGTGCTGGTATTACATGTGTGTACCACTATCCCCAGTTTTTCAGTTTGTAACTTTTTTTAGTTTGTGCTTTCTTTGTCCTAGCTTCCCTTATTTCAAGGTCAGAAAGCTTTTCTATGCTTTCAGTGCTTTTTTGTTTCTTCACTTTTGGGTCTAGGTTCTTGTTAGGTAGTGAACTTGTATGTAGTCTTCCTTGAGTATCCTGAGTGTTGGGATAACAGATGTGTGCCACCATCCCAGGCTGTACTTTTATTTTATATTTTATTTTTACTTCCTTTATTTTTTTATTACTGGTATTTTTCTTTTAACAGTTTTTTCCTTTTATTTTTGGTACTGGGAATTGAACTTACCACTTGGAGCTCACAAGACAGGTGCTTATGCCTCTGAGCTAAATCCTCAGCCCTTTACTTTTATTTTTGAGAGATCTTACTAAGTTCCCTAGCTTAGCTTCAACTTGTTATCCTCCTGCTTAAGAATTCCAGAGTGCTAAGATCATAAGAATGTATTGCTTGTCTTGCATATGGATATCTAGTGCTCTAACAGATTGTATAAAATGCTTCACCTTTTCTGTACTGTTCTGTTAAGAGATGGCCCAGGTGGGCTGGGATGTAGCTCTGCAGTGAGATCCTGTCTGAAAAATAAGAGGCCAGGTGTGGTGGGGCATGCCTGTAATCCCAGTACTCAGGAGGCTGAGGCAGGAGGCTCATCCATGAGTTGGAGGCTCGGCTACATAGCAAGACTCTGTATCAAAAAAAAACAATTCAGAAATCATTTATTTCACACAAGTGTGTTAAATACAATTGCTACAAAACAGTGTATTGAATTAGGAAGATTCATATTAGATATGATCATGTCCATCCATTTGTTATCAAGTGTGCACCTTAGTCATGTGTGCACTCTGGTTTGTAGTTCAGTGAAGTCTCCAGTTCGTCTATTTACATGGGCATTTACCTCTCATCCAAAGGCATTTGTTTGGGTATTTACAAATAAGTATAATTTATATTATTATTTATGTATTAATGTTACTAATGTTTACATATATCTGTACTTTTCATTTAAGTTTAATATGAGTAATGTTCATTTATTTTGGGAACCGGGTATCGAACTTACAAGCTTGGCATCTTCTAGGCAGGCGCTTATGCCACTGACGTACATTCCTGGCTTCTAATAATGTTTATATATGTATACCTGTATTGTTTTTTTGAGACAGGGTCTCACTATGTAGCCCAGGCTAATGTCAAACTCCTGGGGATTTTCCTGCCTCAATCTCTCAAGTTCTGGTGTTACAGGTGTGCACCATCACACCTGGCTTAATTTACATTCTTTATTTGAAAGTTTGTAGCACTACAATGAAAGTAAGTTTTAGAGACAATGGATGTCAGCTTAGAAATCATCAAGTTTACTATAAAGAAAGGTGTGGAAATGAGTTGCATAGTGGAAGATTTCAGAATATGAGTGAATGGGCAGTGCCATCCAGGCCATTTTATTTTTTTTGGTGTCGGGAATTGAACTGGGGCCTCATGCTTCCCAGACTGGTGCGGTATCACTGAGGAATATCCTGGGCTCTGTGATGCCATTTCAGTAGTGATTGATTTTGCTGTACACACTTTCTAAGAATGTCACTGTCTCTTAAACAATGCTTGTTGTCTAGAGCTACTTAGGTGCCTGTGCTATATCCTGGAGAATTTATCTCCAACTTTCACACTAACTGGATGAACCTTTGCATCCTTTCCTGTAGAGCCGATCCTGCAGCTTGTACTTACTGTCTCTTGCTGTACTTTTCCTGGATTTTTCTGGAAGGTTGATGCCTCCTTAGGGAACAGTTTCAGCTGCACTGTCAACCCTCAGTCTGGCAAAGAGCAGGAGGAACTTTGTAATTGTGTGTTCTGCCTGGGCTGTGGCCTAGGCAGCTCACATTTCACTCTTGGGCCACCTCTGCAGGAAGAGAGCTGGGGACACCTCAGGAATTGGGAATTTCTATTTTTTTTTTTTTTTTTTTTAGTAACAGTTCAGTCCTTTGTTTCTGTTTTCTTTTTCTGAACCCCCAGATCATTAAGTTATAGTATAAGAACTGGTTAGAGCATAGCTTTCCTTTTCATTAACACTGAGCTGGACAGACTGGGCCCAAGTGCCCAGCAGAGCCTGCTTGCTCAATGAGGGCTATCAGTGTCCAGAAGCCCACGCAGCTGTGCACATGGTTAGCCTTGTTAACTTTCCTGACAGCTAGTTTCTGTGATTATACTTGTATGTTGACTGAAAAGCAGTGCCTTCAGTAGAAATAATTGATTCTTTTTTCCGGTACTGGGGATCGAACTCACGACGGCCTGCTTGCAAGGCAGATGCTTATGCCGCTGAGCTAAATCCCCAGCCCCTGAAATAATTGATTCTGTGCCTTATATTTTACTAGTTGATACCAGGTTTGAATTCCCGAGAAGCAAATGTGCTTTGCCTGGGGTCCTGGGGAGATACTGTCCTGTGAAACCTCCTTCAATCAAAAAAGTAGTTTTTCTTTTCTTTTTCATTTTTATGGGTACCAGGGATCGAACTCACGACTGCCTGCTTGCAAGGCAGGCGCTTATGCCACTGAGCTAAATCGCCTAGTTTTTCTTTTCTTTGAGATTATTTATGTTGCTGTGTTTGGTTGTCTCTCTGACTCCCCTTGTCTTGCTTTCTTGCTTTTTTTTTTTTTGAGATGGGGTGGTGTTATGAAGTTCAGGTTGGCCTTGATCTCACTGTGTAGCCCAGGCTGGCTAACTTGAAGCCAGGGTCTCACTAAGTCACTAAGTTGCCCAGGCTAAGGCCCAATTTGGGATCTTTTTGCCTTAGCCTCCCAGTGTGCTGGGATTTTATGTGTACCCTACTACACCCAGCTTGAAAAAGAATATTTTTCCTGGGTGTGGTGGCTACTCCTGTAATGCCAGCACTTGAGAGGCTGAGGCCAGAGGATTCAAGACAAATTCAAGACCTACCTGGCAACCTGAACTGCACAGCAAGTCCCTGTCTGAAAAAGACAAAAAAGTTTATTTTTAAGTTGACCAAAGTCCTCTTTATTTCAGTTGTTGAGTTTTATGTAGACTAATGTTAAGTGAACAAAGATTAAGGTCACAGCATTTAAATGTTTTTTTGCAGTACTTTTCAGTTGTTCAAGGCCAAATACAGTTCTACATTATGCTAGTAGGCTGAGGAGAATAAATATTTATGTTTAAAAATTCAGCCAGTGCCACGAAGCACTTTGGAGGCTAAGGCTGAGGCAGGAAGATCTCTACAAGTTTAAGGCCCACCTGGGCTCTAAAGTGAGTTCAAGGGCAGCCTGAACCATATAATGAAATCCTGCTTTTAAAAAAAGATTTAACAAACTGTTCAGCTGGGCCTGGTGGCACATGCTTGTAGTCCTGGCACTCTGGCAGGTTGAAGCAAGAGCAGTTCAAGTTTGAGACACAACTTTGTAGCAATACCTTCCCTTAAACTAACATTAGTAGAAAAGTGCTTGGAATGTAGCTCAGTGCAGAGGCCTGGGTTCAGTCCCAAGTACCATGCAGAAATTGTGCTGGTGTGATAGCACACACTGTACCTGTGGTCCCAGCATTTGGGAGGCTGTGGCCAGATGATTTCGCATTACAGAGGAGCACGGGGCTGCATAGTGAGGCTCCATCTCAAATAATGCATATCTAGCTGGAGATCCCCACAAAAAAAAAAAAAAAAGAAAAAAGAAAAAAAAATAATGCATGAGATCGTATATAGAAAATGGGTATATAGCCCAGTGATGGAGCTCGTGCTTTGTATGTACAAACTTCTAGGCTCAATGTGAACACTAAAAAGTAAAATTCATGGTGTATGGGTCATCAATAAATAATCCATTCTTCTTTAGATGTCTCTTTGTGTGTGGTGGGGATGTCAGGTCTTGCTGCAGTGGCCTTGTGGACTGATGCTGGGGTAGGCGAGCATTCTGCCCCTGACTTTACTTCATATAAATGAAAACTGCACTTTAGGGATTTTGTTTTAAGACAGGCTCTCACTGTGCAGTTCAGTCTGGCCGTGAACTCAAGGAAGTCCTCCTGCCTCAGCCTCGAGAGCACTGGTATTACAGATATGCATCACCACATTTAGTTTAAACTTGAGCGTTTGTACATGAAATTAGTAGCCCAGGAGTTAAAGCTCTGTCTCTCTGTCTGTCTGTCTGACTGTACTGGGGATTGTACCCTGGGTCCCTCCTGTTGAGCTACATTCCCAGCTGTTTTTTTTTTTTTTTTTTTTTTATGAATTTTGAGACAATATGGACAGGGTGTCATGAAATTGCCCGTGCTGGCCTTTAATGTTGACAGTAGGTCATGCCTCCACACCCACTGAGCTAACTAAAGATTTTCTTTAGTTTGTTTGTTTGACATATGTCCTCACTGCCATGTGTAGTTCAGGCTGGCTTTGAGCTCACTGTGTAGCCCAGCATAGCCCTAAGTTTGAGGCAATCCTTTTGCCTCAGCCTCCTTTTTTTTTTTTTTTCTTTTTCTTTTTTTAATACTGCGAATCACACTCAGGGCCTTGTGCTTGCCAGGCAGGCTACTGTGCCACTGAGTAATAGCCCCAGCTTGTGCCTCAGTCTCCTGAGTGCGGGGGTTACAGGCTTGCATTTGGCTCTGAATGGCTTTTCTTTTGAGGGAGATTATGATAAACGTCGCATTATTTTTTTCTGTTCAGTTTCAGAAACATCTGAGATGGTACCAAGCTGCACCTTTATCCATATCATCCGGAAGGATGTAGATGTTTATTCTAAAATTTTGAGAAAACTCTTCAATGAATCACATGGAATCTTTGTGGGCCTTCAGAGAATTGAAGAAGAATTGAATGGAAAATCCAGAAAAGCCCAGTGTGTAGCCTGCTTTATTTATTTACTTATTTATTTATGGAATGAGATTTGAACTCAGGATGTGTGCCACTGAGCTAAGTCCCCAGCCCCTTTATCAATTTATGTTTTTAGCTTATTTACCCTTTCAAAAGGCCAAATAAGCATAAGAGTCATTGAATATAGTCCAATTAGGAGATTTAAAAACTATTATTAAAAGGAGTTTTAAGAGCCTTGGCTGGATGTGGTGGCACATGTCTGTGATCCCAGCGGTCTTGAGACTGACACAGGAGGATGGCCTTGAATTCAATGAGTTGAATTCAAGGTGGGCACTACACAATGAGTTCAAGGCCAGCCTGAACCTCCTAGAGCCTGTCTCAAACACAAACAAACAAAAAGCCATTCACGTGAGATTTTGTGGCTTCTGCCTGTAATTCAAGAGGCTAAAACAGGTTTATTAAGCTCCAACCCATCCTGGACCCTTTAGCAAGGCTATATCCCTAAAAGGGCTATTCTGTAGCTCAGTGGAAGATTATGCTTGGGTTTGATTACCAGGGCTGCAAACTGAACAGAAAAACTTTTGTTTTGCTTATTTTTTTCCTGGTAGTAGGGACTGAACTCAGAGCTACTTACTGGTTCCTTTTAAATTCTCAGTCTGGCTAAATTGTACAGACTAGCTTTAAACTTGGGATCCTTCTGCCTTAGCTTTGTGAGCGGTTGAGATTATATGTGAGGGCCAGCAGGCCTGGATACGACTATTCCCTTGTATTTTATAGTTTTGTGTTGTCTTTTTCATTTTTATCGGAACCAGGGAACGAACTCACAACCAGACACTTGCAAGGCAGGTGCTTTGCCAATGAACTAAATCTCCAGCCTCGATTTTATAGTTTTAATGAAACTGGAATGGAACCAGTGACCTGAGCTGGCTGGGAAAATCTCTGCCACTGGGCTTCATTCTATCAACCTATTACTCTTCTGTTTTTAATTTTTTTTTTTTTTTGTCTTTTTCATTTTTATGGGTACCAGGAATCGAACTCATGACTGCACACTTGCAAGGCAGTCGCTTATGCCACTGAGCTAAATCCCCAGCCCCTACTCATTTTAAAATGAAGTCACTGAGTGGGCTTTATGTCTCACCTTCCAGAGGAAATGTTTTTCTTGCAGTGGAGAGCTATGTCTCATCTGGCTGTGATGATGTAAATTTGTGCTCCAAGCTCTCTTCTGTCTTCCCAGGATTTGGGAGGCTGAGGCAGGAGGATAGCGAGGTTCTCTCCTCCCTGCCACACCCAGTCTCACTGTGCTGTGCAGGCTGGCCTTGAGCTCACTGTTGTAAGCCTGGCTGGCCTTGAACTCACAAGTGATCATTCTTCCTCAGCCTCATGAGTGTTGGGATTACAGGTGTGTGCCACCATACCTGGCTTAAGGATAGAAATTTAAGGCCAGCATAGACAGTTTAGCAAGACTGCCTCTGAAAAACACCAAAGCCAAAACTAAAAACCTGTCTTAGTCATTGAAAAATGATTGTTTTGTTTTCTTGTTAATTTGGTTTGGTTTTGTTTTTAGTATGGAGGGTCCAGGTTGAACCAGCGCCACCAACCTGAGGCTCATCTGTAGCTTTCTTTTTGGTAGCGCAAATTGAGCTCATAACCTTGCAGTTGCCAGGTGGCACTTATACCAGGGAGCTGAATTCCTGTCCCTCTGAATGCAGATCCAGCCCTGTTGTTTATTTTTTATGTTGAGACAGGGTCTCACTAAATTGTTCAAGCTGGGCTTGAACTTGTGATTGATCCTCTTGCCTCAGCTTCACAGAGTGCTGGGATTACAGGCAGGTATCACCGTGTCTGGCTTGAACTAGTTGTGTTTTATACATATTTATTTATTTATTTAATTTACTTGTTTTGAACTAGTTTTAGCCATCCAGAAAAATTAAAAGATGATTTTTTTTGTTATTCAGCTTCCCTAATCTTAATGTCTTTCACAATTGTATTATCTGGGTATTAAAACTAGGATGCAAAGACTGACATTGACTCTGTCTGCTCAACTGAAGACGATTTCTGTTTTGCTGGTTTTCCCTTCTGAGGTCGCCTTTTCCCTCCCTCAGTCTTTTTCATGACCTTCTACTTTGAGGAATATTGATCCATTGTCTCATGGAACATCTGTCAGTTTGTGTTCGTCAGAGGTTTCTCATTCTTGGACAAGCATGTATTAGTGAGGATAGCACCAAAGTGGCCATTTGTTCTTGGGTGACCTTGATCACAATTACTTGATTTATGTAATTTCTTCACTGAAAAGTTAACTATTTTTCTTTGTCACTAATGAGTGCTTTAGGGAAGGAACTTTGAGCTGATGTAAGTCCTGTTTCTCCTTAAATGTTAGCCATTCATTTTAGTGATTATCAATAAATATCATCTACAGCAGCCTAAGTTCCGGTATTTATTTTAAAGCAAGAATTATAGCATATTTATTGTGTCGTTCAGGTTTTTCCATCTTCGGATTATGTCAGACTTCAGGTTGACCTGCCCTTCCTTCAGCAAGTTCTCACCTTTATTGAGCTCTCTCTTACTCTCTGGAACCACAAGGTGCTCCAGATTTAACCTGAATGTGTTCTCATTTTTCATAGATTGCTTCAGTGAGTAAGAACTACCGATCTGTGATGTGAGCATGTATGGAGGAGATGCACCAGGTTGCAAGTAAGGATGGTGTGTGCGTGCGTGCGTGGGGCTGTGTGCTCAGGGGCCAAAGTAAGATTCTTTGAAAAGTGCATTACTGGTTCTTTGACGTTGGTGATTGAAAATCACTAATCATGAGAGCCACATGATTGCCTTGTGCCTGACAGACTTTGCATAACAAGGTGACATGTTTATCTGAGGCCACATTTCAGTTGAAAGTGGTACATGTAACTTACGGGGTTGGCTTGAGAATCATTGATCTACAACAAAGTGATTGGCATTAAAGAATTTCATTTTATTGATTAGTGGGGATTGAACTCACAACCTTATACTTTCCAGGCATGTGCTCATACCACTGAGCTAAATCCCTGGCTCGAGATAGGCATTAAAAAACCATCTAGAATCCAAGTATAGTGATCCATAGTCTCAGCACCTGGGAGGTTGAGGCAGGAAGACTGCCGTGAGGTAAAACTGGGCTACATAGTAAGTTCATGGCCAACCTGAACTATCCAGTGAGACCCTGTCTCAAAGAAAGAAAGAAAGACAAGGAACTATTGCAACAGATATATCTAGAGAGTTGCATGGCAGAGGGGAAAACAAAAGAAAATGTAGAATGAAAACAGTCATTGAAAAAACAAGGGCACAAGCTACAGATTCTGGTAGATGCTACAATAATGAGTCTGCAAGTTTCATTGCTCACTTAAAATGTTCTCTTCTGTCTTGCTAGTTGCTGGGAAAGATGGAGCCAGTGGCCACCGATTCAGCAGCCAGGTACCAGGAGCTGCCTTTTGGTTTTTTGTGGGTTTTTTTGGCATGCTTAAGTGTGGCACCTGCCTAGGGTGGCTCTGCAGTTACTGTCATGGCAGAAGTCTTTTCTTTCTAGGTACATGGGCACCTCCTTGAGGTGGCAGGGATCATCTTAAATTTCCTGGTGGCCTTTCAGTGTCTAACATTGACAAAGATCTGCTGGATAAATAATCATCTGAGTTTTCAGTTTTGGTGTTTTAGTCACAAAGACTCATGAATTCTCTCAGCTATAAGTAGTTACACTCTAATTAGAATGGGAAGATGACTCCTAAGATTTCTTCCCTTGCTGGAGTCTCGGTCCAAACTCAGTAGTGAATAAGGAATAAAACCTTGTCTCTGGTCAGCAAAGCATTTCTTTTCCCTTCTGAACAGAGGATGATGGCACGTGGAGACAGAAGGATGGTGGGAAAGTGCAGCTAACATTGTATATTTGGCTTTTTTGGGTGTTTTTGGTACCAAGAATCAAACTTGAGACCTTGTGCTTGCCAGACAAGTACTATGGCACTGAGCTCTATCCCCAGCCCTGTACTGGGCTTTGCTTTCTTTCTGGTTTTCATTCAGTGCTGGGGTGGAACCCAGGGCCATGTGCATGTTAACCATGCGCTCTGCTATTGAGCTACAGCTCTAGCTGGGCTTTGCCATTAATAGTTTCCTAAACTTCAGTGGTTGGCATTCCAACTTCATAATTGTTCAACATTCTCTCTCTCTCTCATTTCACTGTGCAGCTCAGGCTGGCCTTGAACTCTCAGTGATCCTCCTTTCTCAGCCTACTGAGTGCTTGGATTATAGGTGTTCACAAACATGCCTGGGCACACCTGGCCTCTCCTTTATCGTTTTCCTTTTTTTTTTTTTTTTTAACTGTGGTCCTTGTGATAGGTTTCTACAGTACTAGAAGATGGCCTCAAATTTGTAGTGACCCTCCTGTCTCAGCCGCTAGGTACAGGAATTACAGGCATGCACCTCCATGATCAACTTCCTTTTTTTCTGAGGTATCTTCCTTTTTCCCTATTGTCTTACTAAATTATAATTCATGAAACTCATTAATACACTGCTTTATATTTCTAATGCACATTAAAATGAAATCAGAGCCATTCAAATAATGGTGGTCTACAGATCAGCATGTGAAATGCTCTCACAGTCTGCCCTGTGGGAAATTCTCTCAGAGAAATCCCAGGAACTGCTGGATTAGTGAATGTCCATTATGTGCTTTAAGTCTTGCTATATTCCTGTGCTCTAAGAACAAATCTTAGTACTTTTCATTAAAACTGCTTTTGTGGGCCGGGGATTTAGCTCAGGGGCATAAGCGCCTGCCTTGCAAACTGGCTGTCGTGAGTTGGATCCCTGGTACTGAGAAAAAGATAATAGAAAAACAAACAAACAAACAAAAAACACACCTGGTTTTGTTTCTTCCATAGGTCCGCATTTTGTCAGCAGTGGAGCTAATTTGGAACCTGTGTGAGACCCTTTTTATTGACGTACTCCCGGGTAAGCCTGGGATAATCTGGTCATAACGTGTCTCTACTGTTTCTTTGTATTTCCTGTGCCAACAATGTTGTCTCCAGTGCTTTTCTTGTTTTTTTCTTTCCTTGTGTTTTCCCCCCTTGTTTTGGTTTTTCTGAGACAGGGTTTTATTATGCAGTTCAGACTGGACTTGAACTCACTTTGTGGCCTAGGTTGGTCTCAAACCTGCACTGATCCCACCCGCCCTCAGCCTGTAAGGTGCTGGGACTGTGGTTGTGTATCACTGCGCCCAACATTCTAGTTCTTTTCCACATACTGTCTGAAAGCATTACAAAACACCCAAAGAAATGTGACATTTTGTTAGAGACTGTAAAAGGAATCATACAGATGTTTCCTAGGAACCTAAACATCAAGGAGATGAACTTTGAAAAGCAGTGAGAAATCAAGTTTCATCTAGTGTGTGAAAGTGGTAGTATTCACATTATAGATACTTCATTTGCGCTGAAAGTTGTCTCCATGTGGGGAGGAATAAGGAGATGGGTGTAGAAGACACTTTGAGAATTCTGTAGCTAATAATTGGATGAGGCAACCATGTGTTTTAAGCTGTGTAATCAATCTTGAATTACAGTATGGCCCATATAGTATCATCGCTTGAGTGTACTCTTTATGGAGTTGCAAAAGCGTTTTTTGTTTTTTGTTTTGTTTATTGATTGTCTTATTGAGATGGTATTTGTTTTTCATTTATTTGTAGTGATACTGGCTATTGAACCCAGGACCTTCCCACTGAGCTATGACCCCAGGCATGCCCATTTTAAAATTTTATCTTTTATATTCATCTTAAGGAGTAGGTACATTTATATAACCTGCCTTGATTTTTTTGTTTGTTTTTGTTTGACTTTCTAACCTGTTTGTGTGACTCATGCCTATAATCCCAGCACTCTGGAGACTGAGGCAGGAGGATAGTTGTGACTTTAAGACCAGTCTTTGCTACAAAGTGAGCTCAAAGCCAGCCTGAACCCCGTAGTAAAATCCTGTGTTTAAAAAAAAATTGTTTTTGCTTTCCACTATTGTATTTCAATGTTGTTATTTTGTTTTCTTTTTTGATACAGGGTCTTGTATGCTGTTCAAACTGGCCTTCACCTTACTTTGTAACCCAGGCAGGTCTTTAGTTTTATTTTTAGTTTTTATTTATTTACTTATGTATATTTTTGATGCTGGAAATTGAAATCAGGATCTTGCACTTGCCAGACAGATGCTCTGCCACTGACTATATCCCTGATTCCTACTTTTAATTGTTATACAATTTTGCTATTTTGCACAGGCACTGAGTGAACCTCAGATCCCTTGCCTTCACCTCCCAGAGTGCTGTTTTTGTTTTTTTTTTTTTTTTGTCTTTTTCCTTTTTATCCGTACCAGGGATCCAACTCACAACTGCCTGCTTGCAAGGCAAGAGCTTATGCCATTGACCTAAATCCCCAGCCCCGTTTTATTTTTTTTTAATCTATTTTATTTATAGATAGAAAAAGAAAGAAACTACAAAATTTCAAAACAGTGTATTCAGGGGGCAGCAATGGTATGTACATTGTGCATTGTAGTCCCCAAATCATTAACCCAGAGCCCAAGACATCTGCATTCAATTGTCCAGCACCAGCACAAAGCTTTCTCTCTTTCTTTTTTTTTCTTTTGGTCTTTTTGAGACAGGGTCTCTCAATGTAGTTCAGGCTGCCCTTGAGCTCACTTTGTAGCCCAGGCTGGTCTCAAACTCACAACGATCCTCCTGCCTCAGCCTCCTGAGTGCTGGGATTACAGGCATGAGCCACCACGGCCGGCTACAAAGCTTTCTCTTCAGCAAACTTGGAGAAATCAGTAGTGTAACTATCTCGACTATTTTTTTTTATGTACGTACATATATTTTTTCTTTCAGCTTGTCACAGTTGTGAAGCTACGTTTGCACATGTGTGTTTTATTTATTGCACTAATGAGTGTGTTCTCAGGTTGCATCCATTTACCTATAAAAGTGTCCATTTTATCCTTTATGGCTGAGTAGTACTCGATTGTAGAAAAATAGCAGGTCTTTTTTACCTTCCTCAGGGGATGGGCATATAGGTTGTTTCAAAGATCTGGCTATTACAATCTGTGCTGCTGTAAATGTGGTGCCCACATATCAATGTCGCATGATGTTTGTAATTCTTTTGGGAAGATACCTAGAAGGAGTCTAGCTGGGGTGAAGGGGAGCTCCAATTCTAGTTTCTTTTTTTTTTTCTATTTTTGTTTGGTATTGAGGATGGAACTGATGACCTCACATTTGGCAGGCAGGTGCTTATGCCACTGAGCTAAATCCCTGGCCCCATCCTAGTTTTTAAAGGAATCTCCACACTGATTTCCACAATGGTTGCATAAGTCTGAATTCCCATCCACAGTGGAGAAGGGTTTCTTTTTCCCCACAGCCCCTGCAGCATTTTTTTTTTTTTTTTTTGTGGTACCAGGTATGAAACTTATGACCATGCACTTGCAGGGCACTGAGCTAAATCCCTGGCCCTCTTCTGTATTTATTATTGATTTATTTCTTGATACTATCCATTCTTTCTGGAGTGAGGTGGAGTCTCAGTGTTGTTTTAATTTGCATCACTTGAATGACCAGTGATCTTGAACATTTTTTCATGTATTTATTTGCTGCTTGGATTTCTTCATCTGAGAAGTGTATATCCATCTCAGCTGCCCATTTTTGGACTGAGTCGTTAAATGTGGGAGGACTGATTTTTTGAGCTGTTTATGGGTTCTTGATAGTAATTCTTTGTCTGAGGTACAGCTGGCAAACATTTTCTCCCACACTGTGGGTTGTCTCTTCACTGTGTTGGTGGTTTCTGTCACTGTGCCAAAGCTTTTCAGTTGGGTGCGATCCCATTTGTTGATTCTTTGCAATAGTTCCTGTGCAACCTGGGTTTTGCTGGTAAAGTCTTTTCTTATACCAATGTCTTCAAGAGTTTTACCTATTGTATCTTCCAGCAGATTTAGTGTTTCTGTTTTAATAGTGAGATCTTTGATCCATTCTGATTTTAGCTTAGTACGTGGTGAAAGATATGGGACCAGATTTTCTTTGTTTGTTTTGTTGTTACTGGGGATCAAACTCAATACATCACAGATGGCAGCCAAGCGCTTATGCCACTGAACTCAATCCCCAGCCCCTGGGTCCAATTTTAATCTCTGGATGTGTAGAGCCAGTTTGTCCATCACCATTTAACAAAAGGCTGTCTTTTCTTCCAGTGAATGTGTTTGGCAGTGTTGTCAAAGATAAGGTGGCTTAATATGTCTGGAATTGTTTTGCATCTTCTAATCTGTTCCATTGATCTTTGGGTATGGTTTTTTGTTGTTGTTGTTTGTTTGTTTCCCAGTACCTCACTGTTTTTATTACAGTACCTTCATAGTATAATTTCAAGTCAAGATTGTGATACCCCCTGTCTTTAAATGTGGGAGGACTGCCTTTATTATTCTTGGTCTCTTCTGGCTCGAGGTGAAGTTTAAGATTGTTTTCTCTAATTCTGTGAGATATGCTGTTGAAATTTTGATTGGGATTGCATTGAATCTATATAACGGTGTTGGAAGTATGATCATTTTCACTGTATTGGTTATGCCTACCCAAGAGCATGGGATAACTCCATTTTCTAATATCCTCTTTAATCTCCTTTTTTGGAGTACTGCGGTTTCAATGTAGAGGTCTTTTATATCGTTTGTTAGATTGATTCCTAGGCATTTTGTGGTTTTGATGCTATCATAAAAGGTATTATTTGCCTGATTTCTCTCTGTGAGAGTTTGTTATTTGTGTATAGGAAGTTATTGATTTTTGAGTGTTGACTTTGTATGTAATCAGCTATGTTACTCAATTTGCTTATTAAATCTAGGAGTCTTTTGGTGAGGTTGTTGGGGTTTTCTGAGTAGTATCATGTCATCTGTGAATAAGGATAATTTAACTTCTTCCTTTCCTATCTTTATTCTTTTTATTTCTTTCTCTTGTCTAATTTATTTGGCTCAAATTTCTAGGACTTTGTTGAATAAGAGGGAGATGGTAGACATCCTTGTGTTGTTCCTGATTTTAGAGTGAAAGCTTGCCATTTTTGTCCATGTGGTATGATGCTGGTGTTGGTGTGGCATAGCTGGCTTTTATCAGATTGGGATAAAGACTATCTGTTCCAGTTTGTTGTAGGATTTTTATCATGAATGAGTGCTGGAGCTTGCCAAACGCTTTTTCTGCATCTATTGAGATGATCATATGATCTTTGTCCTGGGCTCTGTTAATATGGTGTGTTACATTTATGGATTGACATATCTTGAGCCATCCCTGCATCCCTGGGATGAATGCCTCTTGGTCATGGTGTACAAATCTTTTTAACAATTTGCTGCAGTCTCTTTGCCAGTATCTTACTGAGGACTTTTGCATCTATGTTCATTAGGGGGATGGGCCTATGATTCTCTTTCTTAGTTGAGTCCTTCTCTGGGTTTGGAATCAGAGTAATGCTTACTTCCAAGACTGAATTTGGACGTATTTCTCCCCTCTCAATTTCATTAAATAATTTTAGAAGTAGTGGTGTTAGGTCTCCTCTAGATTTCTTGTATAGTTCAGCAGTGAATCCTTCAGGGCCTTGACTTTTCTTTTTTGATAGGTTTTTAATTACATCTTCAGGACTGGGGTAAATCCACAACATAAGCACCTGCCTGACAAGCATGAAGTCACGAGTTTGATCCCCAGTACCACAAGAAAAAAAAAATAAATTTAATTACATCTTCTGTTTCATTACTGATCCTGAATAACTTAGGATTTTTAATATTGTTGACTCAGATTTGGTAGTTCATATGGATCTAGTAATTTGTCCATTTCTTCTATATTTTCCGTCTTACTAGATACAAGTTTTCAAAACAGGTATAGATAATTTTCTGGATTTCTACAGGGTGTGTTGTGATTTTGCCCTTTTCATTCCTAATTGCATAGATTTGAGTGTTTTCTTTCCCTTTTTTTGGTAAAGTTGGCT